TATATAATGGTAGAACATCAACTTATTGAAAGGGTGGCTAAAGTAGAAATAGAAACAATGACCCTCTCAGACCATGCCCCAGTTATAATGAAGTTGAGATGGGGGAAACAACTGACAAGGGGGGTGGGATGGAGATTAAACGAGGCCCTTTATTAGATCAAGAGACTGACCAGCAGATCAGACGGAAATAGAAAGATATTTTCAAGAGAACGAAACAGGAGACGTGTCAATGGCCACTGTCTGGGAGTCCCATAAGGTTTATATTAGAGGTATATTGATTGCGTTAGGGGCAAAAAAAAAAAAAGGAAAGGAGTAAGAAAATGACAGAGCTCTTAAAAGATATAACTGACCTAGAACAAATCCATAAAAATACAATAACATGTGAGATAGGACAAAAGATAATAGGAAAGAAGAAAGAACTGGAGATATTAATGGAAGAAGAGAGGAGGAGAGTACTCAATAAAGTTCTAGTGGAGAGGTATAGATGGGGAGATCGTCCAGGAAAAATATTTAATGAAGGCCCTGAGAAAAAGAAAAAAATAGAAATTACATAGAAAAAATAAGAAACCCCAAGGGAGAAATGGCTCACTCTACTAAAGAAATTGGGAAGATATTCAAGGAGTATTACAACAAGCTGTATAATATTAAGTCTCAAAACTTAGTAAATAATAGGGAAAATGAGAACAGAGAAAAAAGAAAGGCATATTTAAAAAATGCAGGACTACCAAAAATAGATGAAGACCTATTGAAATCCCTGGAATTAGAAATCACACAGGAGGAAATAAAAAATAGCACTAAAAGACACTAAAGTGGGGAAAAGTCCTGGCCCAGACGGATACACCGTGAGGTATTATAAAAAAATATAGTGAAGTATTAATACCAAAGTTGAAGGAATATATGAATGCCTTGGGGGGAGAAATGGAGATTAGACAGGAATCCCTACAAGCCATATAAACACTCATACACAAGGAAGGGAAGGATCCTACTCAATGTTCAAGTTATAGACCAATTGCACTCCTAAATGTAGATACAAAAATTATATGCGAAGGTTTTAGCAAATAGGATCAAAGACTTAATGCCAGAATGGATCCAGGGAGATCAGGTTGGCTTTGTATCAGGGAGGGAAGGTAGAGATAACGGAATTAGAACTCTGTTATTGATCCAGAAAGCTAAGAAAGGGAAAACCCCCGGCAGTGATTCTCTCGATCGATGCTGAAAAAGCTTTTGATAGAGTAAACTGGAGCTTTATGATGGACACCCTAGAAACCATGGAGTAGGTAGTAAATGAGGGAATGGATAGGAAAATTGTATAAAACGCCATCCGCGGTTATTTTGGTTAATGGTGAAAAATCTACACCTATAAGGATGTCAAATGGGACTAGACAGGATGCCCACTGTCCCCTTTATTGTATGTGTTAACATTGGAACCCCTACTAGAAACAATTAGGAAGAACGTAGATATAATGGGAATACAAATAGGGGAAACGGAACATAAGGTGGCAGCCTTTGCGGACGATCTGTTGTTTTATGTGGGTAATCCTAGGATAACACTCCCGAACTTAATAAAAAGCTTAAAAAAATATGGAGAAATATCAAATCTAAAAATCAACCCGACAAAAAAACTGAGATCTTGAATATAAATCTACCGAATAGTGAGAAAGAAAAGATAAAAAAAGAATTCCCTTTTACATGGAGAGATAGAGAGATAAAATATTTAGGAGTTAATCTTACTGCTTCATATTCAAAATTGTATAAATTAAATTATATTTCCCTTTTAAACGAGATTAAGGAGGAATTGAAGAAATTGGGAGGAGGAATCCCTTCCTGGTTAGGACGAATAAATCTGATAAAAATGATAATTGTACCCAAAGTTTTGTATAAATATCAAATGATCCCAATAAAACTCCAGAAGTATTTTTTTAAAGAAATTAAAAAGATGATAACAAAATTTATATGGAAAAATAAAAAATCTAGATTATCGTATGACTTGATAAGTAGACGAAAAGAGAGAGGGGGACTGGGAGTGCCGGACTTTAAAGAGATACTATAATGCTGTAATTTTAACAAGAATTTATGATTGGACACACAATAAAAGGGGGAAAAGATGGGTGAAGATAGAGAATGATCTGAGCGGAGTTGACCTGAGTAGAAACATATGGGCACCAGCACAATATAGAGGTTTAGAGAAAACCACGAGTGTGTTCACATTGAATGTTTTGAAGGCTTGGGATAATTTACACAAGTATATGCACTGGGATTTTAATTCACAATTAATGCCATTAAGGAATATGGAGTATTTTCCACCAGGTATTGAGGGGAGTATGGGAAAATGGATCAAAAGGAAGACATTCAACTAAGGGATATTATGGACGAAAGAAGTTGAAAACATTGAAAGATTTAAAAAAAGGTGGAAGGGAACTTTTTACTAAGATTGATGAGTGGAAATATCACCAATTAAATCACTTTGTTGAGGGTCTTCCGAAACCCATAAGAGGGAGAGGGGAGTGGAACTTGTTTGAGAGGTTGTTGGAATCACGAGGAGATGGAAAACGGGGCACGGCAAAAATTTATAAAATTCTCACCGAATTAGCCACGGAATTTAAACCAAGTTATATAGTAAAATGGGAAAGAGATTTGGAAGTGGAGATAGATGAAGATAAACAGAGGAAGATATATAGACTCACACACGAGAAATATTAGCATGAGAGAGGTGGAGGTAAAATTATAAGAGTTTAGTAAGATGGCACATCACACCAATTATGGAGTACAAAATGGGTATAGAGAGAACACAAGAGTGTTGGCGTGGATGTGGAGAGATGGGTACATGGTTTCACATTTGGTGGGAGTGCCCAAAGATACAAAATTTTTGGAAGACAACAGTAAACTTAAATTGAGAAAATCTCAGGAATAAAGATTGGATTAGACCCACAATGTTCTATTACATAAAACAGACTTACCAGTGAATAAATATAAAAATTCGGGTATATGGTACTTTGTAAATGCAGCGAAGGGTTTGATACCTAAGTTCTGGCATAGCTTGGAGGTTCCGAAAGAGAAGGATTGGGTAGAGAGAGTAAATCAGATTAGTAGGATAGAGAAACTATACTATATCCAGGAAGATAAGATAGAGATATATAATAGGAGATGGGAGAAATGGGAAGATTTTGTACACCAAAGGAATATATATGAAGTAATGTTAGGAGAAGATTCTTAATTTCATATAGAAGGAAGTAAGAGAAAAATGCAAAGTGGGAGGGGGGGTGGGATGTGGTAGGGTATAAAGGTAGAGGGAAGGGAAAAGAAGAAAAAGGAGGTAATAGAAAGAGAATAAGAGTAAGAATATTATATGAGATTGTGGATGAAATGTAGTGTGTTCTTCTTGCATGTGCCTCTTTTTTCTTTTTATGTTTAATTATAAATATAAAAAATTTAATAAATATTTGAATAAAAAAAAAAAAAAAAAATAATCAACACTGGGGTCTTTATTTTTTGCTAAATTAACAGAAAAAGACTGAAAATTTTGAAAAAAAACCCACATTTTTCTTTGTTTCTGTTATAAAAGTTTGCAAATAAATAATTGTTCATAAATTTAGGCCAAGATGTATTCTGCTACATGTCTTTGGTGAAAATAACCCAAATTAGGTTTTTTTTTTAGTTTCTAGGAAAGTTCTAGAGTTCACAAACTATGGTACTTATCTGAATATTGATCATTCCTGAAGTACTGACAGCCAATCTAATTTCTTGAGGTCCAAGAATGTCAGAACAGTACAGATATCCTCCAAATGTCCCCTTTTTGCAAAGTAGAAAGTCTGACGTATTTCATAAGAGGCATGGCGAGTTTTTTGAAGTTGTGTTTTTTTTTTTTTTTGTCATTTTTCGGAAAATGAAAAAATGTTTCAGTTTTTTTTTTTTTACATACTGTCATCAGTGCAGTACAGCGTAATCATATAACTGGCATGGCGGTGATCAGGGACACTGACTGGTGATAGTATGAACAAAAAAATATATATATTTTTTTTTAATTTTTTTTAATTTTCTTTCTTTTTTTTAAGATTTTTTTTTTTTTTTTTTTTCATATTTCACTATGACCAAGGTAGTACAATGTTACCATAGTAACATTGTACTACTTTGGGGAAGTGATAAGTATTTTTTTTTTTTTTTTTTTACACAATTTGCTTATAGCAAAGAATTACTTACAATTTAGGAGGGAGGGGCTAGTGGTACAAAAGGTAGTAACTGTGGGGGATGGACTGGTTGGAAGAGTAGAAGATTCCATTATTAGCTGAGGGCAGGATAGGCTTCCCTGAAGAGAGGTTTTCAGAGATCGCCCAAAAGTGAGCAGAGTAGGCAATAGTCTGATAAATTGGGGTAGAGAGTTCCATAGGATGGGAGAAGCTCTGGAGAAGTCCTGGATTCCTGTGTCATGTATGACCTTGATTCGTTTAGTATGATATTCCCCTTTCAAATATATGCCTAATATTAATTTGCCCTTTTCCTGTTGGATTCTATAAATGGTATGTGGAATTGTTACATGTGTAATAGACGTTTTATGGCACACTCTGCATTCCTAAAGCTCTAATAGTCAAGCAGTCACACATGACCTGTAAGGCCGAGTTAATATTGTTTTATGATAGGGCAGAGGAAAGTGTTTTCCATGGTTCGTGGAAACAGACATCTTGCCAAGACTAATTAGCTGTTTACAGCCCTGGACAGGTCTGCACGCTGGGTCTATTTGTGTTTTAACTAAGATAAGAGGTTCTATTGAAGTTTGTTAAATTTACAGCTACAAATTACAGTTTTCAGGAGGAGGGGAGGAAGATTATTGCACATGAAAACCAAAAATGGCTGTTGCATACAGGTTCCATGTCTCTATTGCGCACAATCATTACAGTCCTTGCTATGGACAATGATATACTTATCGCTCGTGTAATTGTTTTTAACAATCTCCATTATTGTCTTATTAATGAACAATGTTTTCCATCTCCATTTCTGCTGTAGAGCTCCGATCCCCATCTCACATGGGCAGCTTGAACAGATCGAGATCCCTCAGCCATGAGCGTTCAGACTCCATGTCTTCCACCATCAGTGGCAGCAATACACAGCTCAGCACTCAAGCACAATACACAGCAGATTTCAGTGTGCGAGCCCTTGGTGACCTACAGTATGTAAAGGTAAGACAATTGTACAAATGTTTTGTATATTCATAAATCTAAAAAATGTATGTACACACAACCTTAAGGAACAAGATGTACTTACTCTCCAGTATTAGTTCTTTTATCTTCGTTAGAGGGGGCATACAGACAGTCTGAGCACGCTCAGGGCAACAAACCCCCACACTGTTGCAAAATACTCCATAAACGGGGTCTGCCAACTTGGCAAGCTACAGGAGCAGGAAGGGTGGAAGAATTACTGTAGACAGAAAATGCTGTCACCACTTAATACATGGGATAAGAATCGTGCTGGGGGGGGGGGCAGTTTACCTAAGTTAACCAACTGATGCCACCTAGATCTAGGCTGGGGGAGCTCTAATTAACCCATGTCTTAAAATGGCAGTATGTAGCAGCTGTCATCACATGTCTTTAGACATGTTTTATTGAGTGGAACATTATTTATAACATGACATTGATTAAATGCCTGCCTAACTTCCGGCACTTTGACATCTGATCTAGAGGCTACCAGCCAGCTTGTAGACCATGGGAGTTGCTCTATAAGAGAATGAAGCTGGAAGTGGAATTCTTGGGCATTTTTTTGAACAGGCGTAAAGTGATTTTTTTTTTTTCGCGGCTACTGTGTTGATATTGTGCCACATAGTAATTCCAGCTTTGAATGACCTCCACTATGACAGGCAAAGGAAACTGTTCTGTGGGTATGTGTTATCTAAAGGAAATATCATTTGTATTTATTACAAGTATTTATCAACAACAATATATGCAGCAGTCTACATATATTGTACATTACATTGTTCCATGCCCTTATGAGCTTGGTCTCTAATTCACATACTAGGGCTAATTTAGACAGGTGCCAATTAACCTACCAGCATGTCTTTGGAGTGGGGGAAGAAGACGGACTACCCAGAGGGCGCATGCACAGGGAAGTAGTGTCATGACTGGAAGTCTAACCAATGTCCCTATTGCTGCAAGAAATGCTAACGACTAAGCCACTGTGCTGCTTTTGTAATTATTACAAAATCTTGAGCAAAATTTTCACCACTGACTTGACTGCAAAAGATGATTTACTTGATCATGTTTTATAGAAGGTCTTATGCACATATAATTTTTTTTTTACTGAGACCTCTTTCTCTACTTCCTGTGTCAGAGAACCACACTCACATATTAGACCAAGCTATAGTGACCAGGAGGGTTTATCCATGGTTTTGGGAAATGCTATTATGCAACTGATCTCTGGAATATGGAGCAAAAGGGGAACTATAGTTTAAAAAGACACAAGGAATTTGGTCTCTCTAAACAGGAAACCTAAGAAGCTACTATGGGTGATACTCTACCTCTTCTGAACGTTTCATAACTCATTACTTGCACCTTTACATACCGTATACCCTAAGGCCCCTTTCACATGGGGGGACTCCGCCAGCAGATCTGCCTGCTCAGCGGGGGGATTTGTCCGCTGATCCCTTCTGATGACAGGTCCGTGTCTGCTTTGCTAACCCAAGGTTCACCTGTAAGCGTTTTCTGCAGCATTTTTTCCAGAAACACCCCACAGTCCATTCAACGTGATTTCCTATGGGACATGTTCACATCTCTGCGTTTTCACCCGGTGCGCTTTTTGGAAAGGGTCAGGGACTTTAAATGCAAAAAGTTGCATTTTTGGTCTATAGACTTCAATAGACATGCTGTAGAAACGCATGTAATGCATTTTTGCTGCGTTTTGCGGTTTTAATTTGCCTAGCAACAAGAAAAAAAAACGCAAAATGCATGTGCAAAAACGCACTGCAGAAACGGCTCAAACGCAAACGGCATAGGTGTACACCTAGCCTTATACAGAGTGGAAACGGACATAGCCCACTTTCCTCCATGGAAGGTCAAAGGTAAACCAACAGGTAGTCTGACTGTCATCTGATCCAATCCGCTAGACCAGGGGTGGGCAACTGTGGCCCTTCAGCTGTTGGAGAACTACAAGTCCCATCATGCCTTTGCCTTTGGGAGTCATGCTTGTAACTGTCAGTTTTGCAATGCCTCATGGGACTTGTAGTTCTACAACAGCTGGAGGGCCACAGTTGCCCATCCCTGCGCTAGACAGATGGGGATCAGATCCCCTATCTATTTGTTTTTAGCTGATCAGATCAGATGCAGGCTGGTTTAAACGTTCACATGTCTGTTTACATCCACCTTCATAGAGGGCAATGGATGGTCCAATCGGGTCTGCATGAAAAATGGACAGGCAGACCCGATTTTGGTCCACCCATGTGAACGGGGCCTAAGTCTTTAGAACATAACGTGAAATCTGATTGGTTGCTGTAGCCTACATATAATCTGTTTAGGCAGTTTTGGAACCCATAAACCTTAGCGGTACTTGGTGCACCCAGTGATTAAAGCTAAAAATTTCAGTGCTAGTTTGTTGCCTGAAACTTTCAAAGATGGTGTCCACATGGAGGCTCAATTCAATATGTGCAGATGCTATACAGTTTTCATCTTACTGCAATACAATGAAGCAAACACTTAACATGGCTCTTATGTGTACTGAATAATTTAGTTTAATAGCTTTTTTTTTTAATTTTTTCCATTTGCGCATCAGGAGCACATGCCCGGTCACCTAATTTTCCTTCTCTGCCAACCTTCCATCTACAGTTTGTAAAGTGATTGTAAGCCCTCACCTAAATAAAACAACCCATTCAGTTTAAAATAGAAATGAAAGGCAAAACATTTGTGTATAAATATTGAAAAAACATTATATACACTTTTTTTTTTTTTTTTTTGTGTGTTTTTTCATAAGTGATCTGTTCTTGGATGCATAGGATACTGGGGGAGGAGAAACAGCAGGACACTGATCTTCCCAGTGAAAGTGTGTGTGTGTGTGTGTGTGTGTGTGTGTGTCTGATCATTAGAGGAGAGCAGGCTGGGTTGCTCTCATGCATAGTGTGGTCAATTTTTAATAGGAAAGCAGAGGAACTGGCAGGAACCCTAGGGATTTCACACAAAGGAAGCAATACAAAGAAAACTGGATACTTTTTTCATACAAGTACATAGTACAGCAGGCACATATCAGGAATATGAAATGTTGGGTTTACATACACTATATTGCCAAAAGTATTGAGACACCCCTCCAAATCATTGGATTCAGGGGTTCCAGTCACCTCCATAGCCACAGGTGTATAAAATCAAGCACCCAGGCTTGCAGACTGCTTCTACAAACATTTGTGAAAGAATGGGTCGCACCGAGGAGCTTAGTGATTTCAAGTGTGGTACCGTGATAGGTTGCTGCCTGTGCAATAAGTCCATTTGTGAAATTTCCTTGCTACTAAATATTTTGCGGTATTATAACAAAGTGGAAGCAACCGGAAACAACCGCAACTCAGCCACGAAGTGGTAGGCCACGTAAAATGACAGAGCGGGGTCAGTGCATGCTGAAGCACAGAAATTTCCAACTGTCTGCAGAGTCAATAGCTAAAGACCTTTAAACTTTGTGTGGCCCTCAGATTAGCACAACAACAGTGTGTAGAGCACTTCATGGAATGGGTTTCCATGGCCGAGCAGCTGCATCCAAGCCATACATCACCAAGTGCAATGCAAAGTGTCAGATGCAGTGGTATAAAGCATGCCACCATTGGATTTTAGAGTAGTGGAGACGTGTTCTCTGGAGTGACGAATCGCGCTTCTCTATCTGTCGGTCTGATGGATGTGTCTGGCTTTGGTGGTTGCCAGGAGAATGGTACTTGCCTGACTGCATTGTGCCAAGTGTGAAGTTTGGTGGAGGGGGAATTATGGTGAGGGGTTGTGTTTCAGGTGGTTGGGCTTGGCCCCTTAAATCCAGTGAAGAGAGCTTCTTAAGGTATCGGCATACCAAGACATTTTGGACAATTTCATGCTCCCAGCTTTGTGGGAACAGTTTGGGGATGGCCCCTTCCTGCTCCAACATGACTGCGCACCAGTGCAGAAAGCAAGGTCCATAAAGACGTGGACAAGCGAGTTTGGGGTGGAGGAACTTGACTGGCCTACACAGAGACCTGACCTTAACCCAATAGAACACCTTTGGGATGAATTAGAGCAGAGACTGCAAGCCAGGCTTTCTTTTCCGACATCAGTGCCTGACCTCACAAATGCTCTTCTGGAAGAATGGTCAAACATTCCCATAGACACACTCCTAAACCTTGTGGACAGCCTTCCCAGAAGAGTTGAAGCTGTTATAGCTGCAAAGGGTGGACCAACTCCATATTGAACCCTACATACGAAGACTGGGATGCCATTAAAGTTCATCTGTGTGTAAAAGCAAGCGTCCCAATACTTTTGGCGCTATAGTGTATTCTTTAATATGGCCTTCTGTTTTTGCAACATAAACGATACTTATTATCTTAAAGCTTGTTGTAATTTCATGAGAGCATGAAGAAAGCTTTTTATCATTGGTGCACAGGTTGCAATTGAAATGTCCTTAACATATTACTTGTGTCACAACCAGTTGCAGCTGCTCAGTGGTAGAAATTGACAACGGGAATGCTGATGTGTGTTTTCTTACCCTAAGGGTGCAGCAAGCTTCCAGATTGTGTGTAGTGCCAATACAGCATTCCAAAATTCTGGACACTCCCTGGCCATAAGTACTCCTACACTTGATTCTTACAGCTAGGTTTTGCTAGATGATGATTCCTGCTTGGAGTTTTTTTGTTTGTCCCTTAGCATAAAGAAAATCTTCAAATCAGATGTGTGGCAACTTAAACCAAAGCCATAATGTTTCATTATTTTGTACAAGGGACAAATAAGGATGTTGTGCAGGTGCCAGAAGTCATCATCGACTGATGACATTATCGGTTGGTAGGGTCCCGGCAGCTGGCCCAAGGTTCTAATGTTGCACAATAATGCCTATGGCTTTGTGTAACAAAAAGGTAGCCTTGATTCACGCACTGGCTTGTTGACAATTTTAGGCATTTTGCCATGGCACACCTGATGAACCCAGAAGGCACCCTGGCTGAAAAAGGCTGCTGTAAAGGAGTGTAACCAATAGGATATGAAACTGTTATAGCGGTGTTGCGGATAAACCACTTGGCTTTCTGTTTCCTGACATCTGGACAGAGGTCAGTGGTTCATTTGTACAAAATATGATATTAATATTGTGTACAGAAGTGTTTTTCAACCGAGGTGCCTCGAAGAGTCCTCAGGGGTGCCACGACAACAGTTCAGTCTGAGCATGATCCTGTGTTAACTCTTGTGCGCAGAGAGAAGGGAAAGAGGGCACATCCCGCACTTCCTCTTGGCTCTCTCCTCCTTTTTGTTATCTGTACGATTAGCATCAAAATAGAAAGCTGTGCGTATCCCCGCCCCCGCGTCCTACCAACTGATGACATTGTCGGTGGCTAAGGACATGTTGCGCAGCCCCGCATAGCTTTCGGTTTTTCTGGCAAGAATACAGATAACAGCAGGGAGGAGCAGAGAGCTGGGAGGAGGTACGCAATGTGCTCTCTCCCTCCTCTGTTCACAGGAGTTAACAGGATCGCTTTCACATCAGAATGTACAGGGTTTGATTGCCTCCCCCATCTCCTCTCCTCCCCACAATGCTCTTGTCCAGGAAATTGAAATTGTCGGTGGAAGGTGGTAAGTAAACTCTGTACAGTCTGTGGAAGGTGGTAATTAAACCCCTGTACAGTCGGATCTGAGAGCAATCCTGCATTAACTCCTGTTTACGGAGAGGAGCTGAAGGGGGGAGAGAGCATAGTCTGCACCTCTTCCCATCTCTCTCCTTTTGTCTGCTGTTGTCCTTAGTGCAGTGATGAGATAGACAGAATTTGTGGTGGGGGAGTATTTGGGAGGGTTGTGCTTGGAAGGGGGGAATTTGTTCTAGGAGTGGAGATTGGGAGAGAGAAGATTTACAACCTAAAGATCACTGAACTTTGCCTCACAGCCTGCATTTTAGGGTTTGTTCACACCTGGTTCAGTGTAATAACACATACAAAATTGCACATTTTCCTTTACCATCAAATGTGGTGCCTTTTTGCAGATGTGTATGGGTGCCATTAATTCTTAACGACACCCCTATTCATCTAGCAAATTCACGTACGTTCATGCCTGCTAAAATATGTGGTTTTACAGTACCAAGTGTTTTAGTGCTGCACGCTTTTAAAAATCATGCTGGCACCTTTTTGTATGTCTAATGCGCATAGAGCAGCCCATGAAAAAATGCGACGTGCCCTATAGGACATTTTGATTGCGTTTTATAAGCTATTACATTTGTGCCTGTGGTGTAAACTGGGGCTGCATTTCTTATATTCTTTCTGTTATATGGAAGAAATGGGGTAATGGTGGATAAACAGGGATTTTTAGTTACTATGAAAGAGAGCTTTTGTACGTCTTTGGATAACAGGATTGACAAGTAAAGAGGAAAGTGAGCCAATCCATTTTGTTCTTAAATTTCAAGGGAAATGCCTGTCTACTGTATGAGTACTTCAGAATTCATCATGCATACAAGATTAGCATACATGGCTTTTTCATTCACTGGAAAAGCTTTTGGTGTCTGTAGTAACTTTACATTTTGGAAATGTACTGATGCAGATGACTACCATGTAAAAAAAGATAAAGGAATGTTTTTTTGTAATGAATAGCGGCATAGTTGGAAAATGCTGGGATTAGCTATTTATTACTGGTCATTACAGTATGTTAAGAAAACTTGTTGATATTGTCAATTTTATTCAGATCTCACGGGAACAATATCAAGGAGCTCTGATGTCCTCCCGGATGGATAGCAGTCCGCAGTCTCCTGAAGGTGGAACACACAAGCTGGAGAGCACTATATCGGAGCGCAGTGAGGTTATGGTGGACGAAACAACCAGTCTTTTAAATCAGAGGAACTCACAGCACAGTTTGCACCACAATGCTGTCTGACACCAACTCCTATGCTAAGTATCGATCTGCATGTACTTTACCTGTGGATCAGCCTAGAAAAAAAACACTTTGCAATATTCGACTGGGCACACAGTGCCAGTGCACTGCATGCAAAGCTTTATCCTAAGAGGCAAGAGTTTCACAAAGGCTGCAGAGCTGCACTGCACATGTCAAAAGGAGAGCGATTCCTATTGAGGAGTGTTCACTATAATATTCTGCAGCTCATCAGTGGCCTGTGATGAAAGGGGTTGTTCTACAGCCCTGAACTTGTCTAGAGGAGAACACAAGACTACCAAAGGGGATCTGGAAAATCTGCAATACTTTTGGGAATGAAATGATGCTGAGTGGAGCATCAACTCAGGGAAGGAGTTCTATAAGTGCACTGGAGACCCCTGCCTCAAAGGGGGGATCTATTTGTTTGTCTTCCAGGGGAGTGGGTTGATATATTATGCAGTTGCAATTTATTGCCCATTGCTAGAAGGGCCCTCCATAAGGTTTTTGCCTTGAATAGCTCTGGCCCTGCCAAAAAATTTGAAGTGTTTTGTTAATTCTTTTCTCTGTGATGGAAGGCATTCTGATACTGACATGTTTTTTTTCCCAGCACTCCAAATAGGAAATGGTGGTGACCAATAATATACCAGCAATCAAACTGGTTACAAAGCAGTGTCATAGATTGAACCAATGGTAACACTCAGTTTTCTGTCAGTATTTTCTGCCAGAGATGGGGAGGCTCTTGTTGAGTTCATAGCAGTATGGTAAACATTTATTGACCCAAAGTATTTTGTCATGTTCATGTGGTGAGCATTGAGGAACAACAATGGATTATCCATGTTGCTGTTATGGACTATTGTCTGTGCTGGCCACTGCTAACTGCAGTTTGAAGGCCTTGTTCTTATGGCCTTAACAATAAATAGTTCTAGCGGATTATTCAAGTTCACCCTTTCTAGAAATTAGCAATAGATATTAAAAATCTGTGCAGCTTTGTAAAATGTTGGTTGATTTTACTGTTTTACTTGTAGGCCATGGTTCTCTACAGAAGCCTGGCTAATAAATTCCGAGTTACCAACCCCCATATCCTAACTTGTTGCTAGGACGCTAAAGCTGTAGGATGCTCACTCCAGCAATGCAGAGCTGAAAACCAACATGTTTCTAGTCCTAGCAGTGAGGCAGGACATAGGGGTTGCTGACTAGGAGTGTATCAGCCAGGCTTTTGAGGGGACCCAAATGGTCTACAATGTGAAACAATAAAAGTAATGATCATTTTACAAAGTTGCACAGATTTTTTACATCTACAGGGGCCCTTTGACTGCATAGGCTTTTTTTCTGGAAAAGGTGAACTTGGCTGTTAAGTGCAATAACCCATAGCAACCAAAATCACAATATATTCTAACATCAAAGCAGTATGAGATAGATTGGTTGCTATAAGCCATGGCAGCAAATTGCCAGTTGATAAGCATTTATTGAGTATGGATGGTAATGTCTTTTTTTGAGTATAAACTTTCACACTCTATTTTTCTATAAATATTTGTTTACATTACAGTTTAGTTGTACTGTGGAGCATATGACTTCAATTCTGTTTTGGACATGTGGCGTAAAGTGTGAGCCCTGTGCCCAATTACAATCATTCATAAAAGATTATATATATATATATATATATATATATATATATATATATATATATATATATATATATATATATATATATATATACATACACACAACGTTTTACTTGCCAGATTTGTAACTCCGTTCTGCTTTTGTGATCAGATGATTTCCTTGCAGACTAAACTGCAGTTAAGCAATACGGTACAGGACCTGCTCCAGCCTGTGCCTAGACCAGGTAGAAGTAGCAGCACTATGTAGACTGACAGAGCTGTGCAAAGCAATAGAGTCCTGACTAGCTCAAGGGGCTGACCCTCCCCTTTCCCTCTCTGAGTGCTGCTGTGCAGGAGATTACAGGAGACCTGTGTACTGCGATATAAGTACTTATACTTGTTTTGCCTGTTGTTCTGCATTAACTGTACTAATACAGCACGGAGACCTAAATATTTGACCTGGCAAACCTTTGATTTGCATTTCTTGGCCTGTAAGAGTGTCACCTGTTCTCTATTTTGAGCAAGAGGTTTCAACACTACAGTTTTCTCAATGGCAAGTGAAGCAAATGTACACAGTGTGCTGCCTGACGTTGCAATCAAAGCTACCCAGTGTCAGTATCTATGTCCATGTAAAATACTAATAACTACACGGAGGACAATTTCACCCAGGAACAACCTAAATGTAGTGGACATGGAGCCCAGTATCATAGGCCTAAAACAAGCCCTAAAATGGTTGTAAAGGCAGAAGGCTTTTTTTTTTAACCTTACCTTACTTCATTATGTGCAGCAAGGTAAAATGCCTTCTAGATGCAACTTCCCCCGCAGCCCCCTAAATATATACTTGAGCCCGATCTTGATCCTGCTATGTGCACCAGAGCCGAGGCTCTCACTCCTCACTGGCTTAGATACTGCAGCAGGAGCCGTTGGCTCTCACTGCTGTCAATCAGAGCCATGGGCACACAGAGCACAACTTGGAAGCAAGCACTCATGAGTGCCCTCAGAGCAAGCGGCTTGCTATGGGGGCACTCGGGGGGGGGGGGGGGGGCCAGAGTGCCAGCGAGGGACCCCAGAATCAGAGCTGTTCTGTGCAAAACCATTGCACAGAGCAGGTAAGTATGACATGCTTGTTTTTTAACAAAAAAAAACCCAAAAACTTTTTAATATCACTTTAATAGTTTCAAGGTCAGTGTAGTGTTCAACATGTTTTTGTAGATATGCTGCTAAGGTTACCCTGGACAACATGGTGGATCTTCATTTCTTGTGCTGGAAAAGGGTGGTTTGCACAATGTTCTCCCATACAACTCTCAAATATATCTCTTTATTAGTGCATACTAAGCACAGTTGTCTTCCTGTGCTCCTCTATAGGACTGCAGCACCAAAAAACCAAGGGACTTATTTAAAATATGTATCGTAATGCTTCCTCCCTGAGAGCAATTGTGAGTCTTGCTATCTCCAGTGGTTTCTGCACTTGAAGTATAACTAAAGACAAAACGTTTTCCTTACTTTTGGATAGAGTGGAAAGGTATTGGAAAATCTATTTTTTCATTGCGGCCTATGCCCCTGTTAGGGAGATTTGTCCTCTCTATTTGTCCTGTTTACCGTTAAAGTGGAGGAGGCAAAATCTAACTACTCTTAAAATTGCTCCCTCCCACTTCCTACCTATTCTTGTTAACCAGTGTAAGAAAGATCTGTATACTTGCTTATTTTTGGTTATCACATGATCCTCTATGTCAGCCAATGCTGGCTACAGGGGAGAGGAGAAAGTGCTCAACAACGGTTGGCAATGCCTGAGAGCAGTGATGTCCATCCATAGGCTCCTTTTGGCCCAACCATTGTCAGTGTTCCCTATTCTGTCTTGCTGCTTCCGCTGGCTAACAGGGGAGTTAGATTACGTGACTGACCTGAGCAGCCTGAAAATAGGTAAGCACACAGGTCTAATCAGAATAGGTGTTAGGATGGGGGAGGGAGCATTTATTTTTAAGAGTAGTTAGGTTTTTCCTGGAATTCTACTTTAATACTGAGAGTGGAAGCGAAAGAAAGTACCAAATTTTAGGTAGTCACCAGAGTAGGAATAAAGGGGAAATCTTTTGATGGACATACTAGTTCCCTTTATGACAACCAGGGATTCCCTCACTTTGGGGAGTTTCTGCTCACTTACTGTTTTGGCTATGGGATAGCAAATGAAGGGTAAATCTCGGGACACAAATGGCAAAAAAGATAAATGGACAGGAATTATAACCCTCCACTTTTTCCAAATTGAGAACAAAAAGTTCTTCCTTCAGCTCTAATTTGAGTAATGAGGTCCCCTGTGATTTAGATAAGCAAAAAATACAAATTTGGAATGTATAGTTCAGATACTTTTTTTAAAAGCAAATTTTCAATTCTGTTTGTTTCCAAGCTGTTGTATTAGCTTAGTCAGTGGGGTTTATTTACTGAAGCTGGAGAGTGCAAAATCAGGCTCACTTCTGCATAGAAACCAATCAGCTTCCAGGTTTTATTGCCAAAGCTTAATTCAACAACTGAGGTTAGAAGTTGATTGGTTTCTATGCAGAAGTGAGCCTGAGTTTGCACTTTCCAGCTTTAATAATTAAACCTCAGTGTGTATAATATAGACATACTTTTAGGTTGTATGCACAGGTATTTTTAATGCTTGCTTGTAAATTGTGTGCCCATCACAGTAGGTTAACTAATGGCACTACCGTGGGGACATATTCTGTAATTTATAGCACAAATTGGCTTTTTCAAGGAATAGTTTAGTGTTGAACAGTTCTTCCTTTTTTTTTTTTTTTTTTTTTTTTTTTTATATATCCCTGTCCTCTGTACCCATAGAAGCACTTTGTAGTGTTAGCATGACCCATCCTCGTAGGGTTACAGTCTGGACAGGAAAAAGCTACCCTTTGGCAGATTCTGAGTAATCGATAGAATATGTCAAGTGATGTACCACATCTGGTTCTGCATTGGTTATGCTATAGATGTGGTTGCAGACATGCAATGTAAGCAACTCCAAACCTTTTTCTAAACCACTTATGGTTATACCCCTGTAAGAAAATGTATCTATATTATGTACTACCCCCTTTAAACCACCTAGCCTTTTGATGACCTTTAGAGGCACATATTTTGGGAGTAGGAACAGTGTCCATGAGAATATCTGCCTCTAGCAAACTGGTTGCCTCCCATCTCCGTAGGTCCAAGGTGGAATTGGTTAGTCCATGCTAAACTGATATTTCAGCCATGTGTTGGGTCTGTGGGGTTGAAACAACAAATGGCTACTTATATCTTCTGAGGCTTTCTCTGATCTTCTTCATAATTTAAAATAAGAAATTCAATAAGAGTGGATATGTGGCTGGGACCAGGGAACTGTGGTACAGAAGTTTTGTCTCTGAGAGACATAAAAAGCCTTTGGGT